CTCTCTCTCTCTCTCTCTATATGTGTGTGTGAAAATAACTCCTTGATGAAGGTGAAAAGTAATTGTCATGCAGATATGTTAGTGTTGGGTTGCATGTTGAAAAGGTTTTGCTCTCACTGCTGATGGTAGTTTTGATGGATGGTCCAATGAATTGACTTATATCCTTTTTGGTTGTCTGGTGGATACTAGGTAATTAAGAGAAGCTTTCAGCATTAAGGGTAATAAAATGCACCGAAAATCTTAATGAAAGGATAAAAAAAAAGTTACCTTTATGTCTGGCTTCCACTTTGTGTCACGCATACTCTATTACTCACTGTCAGTTATATATGTGAATTAAATGTAATGATATCATTGACTAATCTGGGGTTTTGACCGACAGGTGTGGGCAGTGAATTTGGCTGGCCATTCTGCCAGTGCGTGGGCCAGTGGGAGAACAGGACCTGCCCCACCGGAGGGTGTTGGTCCGCCTACTTTCCTGCGCGTTTCAGCAACCTCAGTGGTAGTGGACATCCCTCCTCCAGCCCGATCCAATGGGATTGTTAGCCTTTACAGAGTGTTCTCTCTGAAAAACAACAACCATACTCTGGTAAACAACATAATACTACTATGTTCCTCTCCAGGCCTCCATTTTCTATTACTGTAACCTCCCTGATTACTCACCCCTCTTCCTCTCTCTCCCATTTCCTCTTTTTTATCCCTGGCCCACCCACTATGTTTCTGAATACTATTCACCCAAAACTTAAACTCAACCCCCACTCTTTCCCATTCCTCTAGCTCTCAGAGGGTACATCCCATCGGCAGACACTCCATGGTTTACGTCCTTACACCCAGTACTGGGTAGGAGTAGAGGCCTGCACCTGTTATCAGGTAATAAAACTGATGAAAGTGGCATCACAGATCCTGGTTGCCTATCTGGTCTGCCAGTACTCTATACTTGTACACTCAGAAATACTATACATTTTGAGGTCTCTGTTTTGAACATTTGACAGTGCTGCAGTCAGGGTCCACTGAGAGAATTCCACACCCTGGCTGCACCCCCAGCCCACCAGCGTCCTCCTCGCCTTGTCACCCTGACCTCCCGCTCTGTTCAGCTGGAATGGGATGAGCCTCTGGCACCTAATGGAGTCATTGAGAGGTGTGTAGAAAACATAAAAAAATACATAGGAAAAAGTATTTGCTCAGATTTTGTTAATGGTCTCACTTACTTACTCTCTTTCCCTCCGTTTCCAGCTGTGAGCTTCATCTCAGATCACCTTGTCCGCAGCCCCCCCAGCCTGTGCCCCTCGCTTGCGTTGAAGGACCGATGGAAATTTGTTTCTTTGGCAAAAGGCGGAGCTACAATGTGACAGGTCACTCGTGTTTATGTCAAAAAATGTCTACTAACACTCAAATGTCTTGACCTTCTTTACAGTAAAAGTTATATTTGCACAAGTACCAAAACACCGTTCAGTAAAGCAGCACTGAAATATCATTGAGAAGAAGAAAACATATAATAATAAAGAGGAACAATGACCAGAATTATACAATTAGTGTACAACCAGTTGGTTTTGAATTCCCAGGAGTGAGTGACCCATTAATAATACAAAACAGAGAGATCTTAAGACTTAAGCAAGCACCACGAGTAGAAGGCAGGTGATAGCTTTGTAAATAATTGAGCTGAATTGAGAGAGACAACAAAAAAGGATACCAGTGAATTATAAGGACTTGGAAACCTAGTTGCATAGTGTGTTGTCTGTCTCTCTTTCTGTCTGTGGTTTGTGTTTTGTGTGAATAAACAACTGAACCAATCTGTGCAGGTCTCCAACCATACTCCACCTATCAGCTGAGAGTTGCCTGCTTCAACAACATGGGCAGCACTGCCTCCAACTGGACGACTGTTACCACACTCAGTGAAGGTAACAAATGCATCCAGACCCCCAATCCCTCAACCCTCCCAGCTAACCAGTCATAAGAAACATAAAAACACCCCCACCCCACCTCTCTCTCTCCCTCTCTCTTTCTCCCTCCAGCCCCCCAGTATGTGTCTCCTTTCTCCGTGGACAGTAACCTGACAGTTATCTGGCTGGACTGGGCAGGGTCGTTCTCCCTCAACGGCTACCTGAAGGAGTATAGTGTGACTGAGAGCCAACTGAGGGTGTACACTGGCTTCTACAGCTATATCCATATTCCACGCACCTCACAGAAAAGTGAGTGCACACAGACACACACCAAACACATACGTACATACACACATACACGTTTATGGGAGTTGGTAACATAGATAAATACGCACTTTTTAGGAGGAATGTCTACTTGTTAAGATAATACAGCAGACTGCAATTGGAGAAATAACACTGTTGTTGAATACTGGAATACAAAAACAAATGAATAAATAAGAAATATACTTGTCTAACTTTGTTTAACAGAATTGGTTAACCCTTACCAGTCCTTTAGCATCAGTGTCAGATAGTGTATGAAATATTGTTTAAATGAATTGGCTTTGGCTGACTGGTGCATGGACCATATAAGAATAATAGGCAATAAGCTACTGATATCATGAGCCTATATTATATAGACTATTATATAGTGTCTTTGATATGATGAGAGTATTTCAGAATGAGCTTTAGTTCAGTGTCAACAGGTTCCTTAAAATCCATTTTCCTTGAAATTAGAATCACTGCAGTATGTTTTCTCCCTTCCTTTCTAAAGTAAGTGTCTTTGTTCCTATGTGTGGTATGTATGAATAAGCAGCCTTGCTAAAACCCTTGTTTAGAGTAATCCCTCCATAACAATCTCACTTTTATTTTGCCCTGTCTCTTCCTCTGCTCTTCCTAGCTCTGTCATTTCAGGTGACTTGTACCACAGACAGTGGCAGTGCCAGTACACCCACCATTAGATATAGTCCTGCTACAGGCCTAGGTATCGCAGCACACAAACACACACACACACACACACACACACACACACACTGCTAGTCTCTCTTCAACTGTCTCTGTCAAAAAAGCCCAGGAAAAGTAATATAAAAATCCACATAAACACATTGAATGTAACATATTGTTTATCTAGTAACTTACTCTCTCTCTCTCTTTCTCTCTCTGCAGCTCCTCATGAGCCTGAAGACAGTGGTAAACAGGGTGTCAGCATGTCAGCAACACCAGTTTACTCAGAGCTGTGGTTCATCTTGCTGTTATCCCTGCTGGGTCTATTTCTGCTAGCAATACTGCTGGGCCTGGTGCTGCAAAGGTATTGTAATGGCACGGATAGAATAGACAAAAATACCTTCTCCTCAAGCACACTACACTTGTTCATATAAACTAATAGATAAAACTTAGACATGTCTTTACGAAACACAACACACTCTATGTAATAACAGAAGGGTGTGAATGATTTTGTTTTCCCTTCTTAGAGCCCTGAGGAAAAATCCATCAGCCAGAGAGCGCCCTCCGCTGGTCATGCTTCAGAAGACCAGGAAGGCTGTGGGAGAGACATACACGGTGAGAGGAGCAGAGAAACAAGGCCCTCAGTAAAAGAGAGAGTGACAAGATGGTTGAAAGGAGAGAATACGGAGAGAGAGAGAGAGAGAGAGGGAGGTAGTCGGGTTTACAAAGATGTAGAACAGAAGATAAATTAGGCAGCTTTGGAGCAGAGGTACATGGAAGCAGTTTCACAACTTGAAATCACTAGATGACTGAATCAGAACTCTTTATCACTGCAGATAGTAAACATTTTAGAAATAAATCTGTCTTTGCCAGAGCAGCCATGTCTTAATCTTTGTTCCACCAGAGGGGGCTGAAACAACAATTGTTCTTGGAAAGCTGTTCTTAGAATAGAAATGATTTTCTGTCCTGTTACCAGTAAGTAACTGGTTCAGTTTTACCAATGTGGAGTGTGAAGCCAACCAACCAACGTTTGTTTATCATCAAATACACAGCTCTTTTTCTACATCTTTAAAAATATAATATATATAATATATAGGATACATCATGTTATCACCCCCCCCGCCTCTCAATCACCCATTACCAATAACTAAAATAACACTGCTATTAATGATTATCCCCCTTTATCCACTTGATTAATTTGTTTTTACTCATTTAGTTTCTAACTTGTTTTTTTTTCTTTTTTACTACTCCTATTTAATTTTCTCCTAACATAATATTTTTAAATTCATTATTTTCTTCTCTCTTTGGCTTCTTTTTCCTTTCTATTTCTGTCAATATTCTTTCTTGCTCTACTTTTTTCTTTTTAATGTCTGTCTTTCTCTGACTCCTTCTTTCTATATCTGGTTTCTCTCACCTCTCTTCCTCCTCTCTTCTCTCTCCTCTCCCTGGTCTCTCTCTCTCTCAGAGGCCCTGCCCTGAGTTGTGCTCTAAGCATCACTCCAGCTCTGTGTTCCTCCCCGATCGTCCCACAGTAAGACTATTTTCTATATTTATTGTCAACCCCCTAAATGTTTATTTTATTGTTCCCCTGCAGTTTGACACTGTAGCAGACTGTGTTGAGATCAGCAACGTTATGCTTAAAAGCTACACTGTGTACACTGAGGTATGGGATTGTGAATTTGTGTGGGTGCCTTTCTACGCATGTCTGTTTTGTTTTTGTGTATGCATGCTTCGTGTGTGTGTGTGTGTAAAAAGCTGAATTGTTATATTACAGTGGCTGATTAATCTGGGCTTGTAAAGGCAAGACATGTTGTACAGTCTTGCGGTTTTCCTTAAATGTAGTGTTTATACAGTGTATGCAACAAATAAAATCATTTGATACATCTAGATTTTCTTTCATAAATCTGCCAAAAAACTGTGTCATACTTCATCTTAATCTTTTGCTTTGTTTTACGGCTCAAGCTGCTAGTTTTTGTTTACTGTTAAACATATGTTTAAAAAAACATAAACAAAAGCTCAGTGATGATGATCCAAATTGCCAATCCTTGCTAAGTAGTACTGCTCTCTGTTGACTGTTCATATTATGACAATCCCATCTAGTATACATTTCAATCTAAACAATAATTCAAATATATTGTGTTGTGTAAGTACATTTCCAAAAGATATTTTCTTGTTCAGAGGTAACAGAATCAATAATCAGTTTACCTCCTTATTACCTGTAATTTAGTTATTATGTAACTAATATCCAGATCACACAACTGCTGCCTTCAACACTTGTCTAACTTGTTTTATTTCATACTGGTTTAAAGTTATAGAAAATCTTCTTGGGTAGCAATTAAAGAAACATACCAATGTTTTTGCATGTTTTATCCCATGCACCATAGATTAGATAATGTGTATCAGTGTATGGTACACAGTATTGTACTACAGTATTGCTTCAAAGTATACCACAGTTTTTTCTCCCTGCCATTGGTTTCCATTCATTTCTCTACCATATGAAAATCATTTTGCAGTCAATTTGAAGGTTGCTGTAATAAAGTAACAAAGTACGTATGGTTTGTAATAAATTTCAGGGTCTGACAGACACAAAGATAGTCAGCAGCAGCTCACGGTTCAGCCCCATGTCTGTCCTACGGGTCCCCAGCCAAACAGACCTCAGTCAAGCCTATTCCCAGCATTCCCTGCACCGCAGCGTCAGTCAGCTGATTGACAGGAAGTCACTGATGATGGAGGAAGGAAGCTGGGACAACCCGCTGGGACAAGATTCTGGACTGGTGAGCACGGAAATAAGTTTATGTTAAATCAGTATGTGAAAATTGATTGAGCATAAGCAGCTAACTAAAGTCTGTACAGACGATGTGCATCATCATTATCATCATCATCGCCATCATCAACATTTACTGGTAACCCAGTAAAATAAATAACTTTTCCTCAAGAGTATCACTGGCGTTACCTTTGCTCTGTCACTGGGCTTACAGTGCGCACCGTAACTGTTGCAGGCCTTCTAAATACCTAACTGTGATCTCATGTGTTCTCTTTCAGTACGTGGAGGAAGATGAATTTGTGGATGCCATCAAGGCCTTAAGTTCTACTAAAAAGGAGCACACCGTGTTCACTGACACTCATCTTTAAGACAAGATCCCTACATCAGATCAGGTATCACAATTCAAATTCAAATTCAGTTCAAACCAAGACAGTAAAACAAGGCAGCTGGTATTCGGTCTAACACATCTGGTCAGAATGGAAAAACATTTAGACAATTTAGTACTTGAAAAATATGATTTAGGAAGTAAAACTTCTCTAATATTGTTCTTCCATTGTGAAATATTGTTCATCATTGATGTCCAATAATCACTTGGAACAGTGTTAACAATGTTTTAATAATGTTCAGATCCAAAAAAAGAAAGCCAGACCCAGAGACCTAAGGGGAGGCGAAGAATAATGGTTATTTTCCTGCAGCAATTATCTTCAACTATACTGAAACAGGTGTTGTCTCCTCCTACCCCACTGCGTGTGTGAGTCCCTGTTGGGACTAATAGTAACTTGTGTAGAGGCAACATCCATGAATACAGTTCGAATACGGACCCAGGTTGGTCAAAAAGCTGCAGTACATTAGCTCCATAGAGTAAATGTGTCCACATCTGGATTGTAATGTAACCCCGCTCAGATTAAGAACCAGAACAGTCCTTAAATGACTTTTAACAAACTGACTGAATCTTCTGGGTGTAGTCTCTTCTTGCCAACTGTTTGTAGTTTAGCAGGTTTGCTTTTCACGATCCAGAATCAAACCAGTGTAGAAATCAATTAAAGTCAAAGGTTTCAGTCGCCTGCTTCAACAAGTAATTGTGCCGAGTAAGCTTACACCTTATCAGCAGCAATAGTCCTTTGTAGTAATACACATGGCCTTGGTGTTTGTTTTATGAAAAAAAAAAATGCCAACTGTTTTTTTATGTGTGTTAAATGTGGCTGGGAATTACAGATGTGCCGTCTGATTGTTGTGATTATGTGATGTAAATTGAAAGCCCAATGTGAGATTCTTTTTTTACCGTATCAGTCGTGGACATACAGTTTACTGCAATTTAAATTTAGAAGGGACGTAATGAAATCAAGCTTTGTTCAGCTTTAGTGACGCTGAATGTCTGGTTCTGATTTCATAGCTGTCAGTGGGATTCAGACTCAATGTTGTTTGTATGTGGCCTAATTTTTATTGTATCAAGAAGGAATGAAAAAATCTCTGTAATGTCCTGTTTCAGTGTTTTAGCAGGAATGAAACGTTGTTTATATTGGGATTCCACAGATTGGGCTTTTCATTTTTAGGAGCTAAACATCAAAGAAACAGTATTTATCAGAACAAGATGTTGGATTTCTGTGTAATGTTGATGGGTTTTTGTGCACAAAATTGAAGCCTCCTGTATTGTTATAAAACCTTTTCTTTTTTACACTGGCAGTATTATTTATGGTTGTTGTATTAAAAAAGGTCTTATTTATAGATTACTTCCTTGATCAATGTTTGTGTTTTTCTGGGAAATTATAAATAATGGTAAAGAAAATATTCTTTCCTGTATTCTTACTTTTCTTCACTTGAAACGTATTTGAATTATGAACACATCTGTTATCAATTCTTATATTTGCGGACATTCTCATTCATTTTCTGTTGCTTATAAAGTTATCCAAGTAACACACCTCTAGTACCTACATCTATAAATCTTCAAGGTTCAATTTCATGACAAGGATCCTTTCATCATGTTATTTCTAGCATAGTGTTTATAGATTTTATGCAACATTCATTTTGCACTTTTTTTTAAAGAACAAAAATGAGGGGAGCGTTCCTGTGAAAAATTTATTAAACACAGCTTGTAGCACTTTAATGTTGCTTTACTCCATG